TATTAATATACAGAATGAAAAATTATTCTATTTGTACCACTAAAAAAATACTTGAATACAAATATAACCATATAAGGCACTCCTTCTATTTCCACTGTACAGTTTATAGCGAATTTTCAAAGTTAACTGACAGAAGTTATTTTGGGCAAAATCTGTTGCCTGTTTTCTGACCTATTACCGATTAAAAATTCATATCTTTTTTTATACATCTCGAAATCAGTTTTCGTTTGTTCTAAACAAAACTAGACTGATATACAAATCCAATGGTATAATATTTATCCTTTATTATTTTTGTATCCTTTGTTTTCTATTGTTTCAACTACATTATTTATCAAAATTTCATATTTTGGCAGTTTGCACTACCTTAAAAAAATATTATTTTGTATTAATATACAGACTGAAAAATTATTCTGTTTGCACCACTGAAAAAAGACTTGAATACAAATCTAACCATATAAGGCACTCCTTCTATTTCCAATGTACAGTTTATAGCGAATTTTCAAAGTTGACTGACATAAGCTGTTTTAGGCAAAATCTGTTGCCCTGTTTTCTGACTTATCACCGATTAAAAATTCATATCTTTTTTATATTTCTCGAAATCAGTTTTCGTTTGTTCTAAACAAAACTAGACTGATATACGAATCCAATGGTATAATATTTATCCTTCAATTATTTTTGTATAATTTTTGGTAATTTTCTAAACTTACTATATATAACATAATTTCTAGGTAGATTTCATCAACTTGCATCTTTATTTTATTCACTAATTCTATTAGCTTACCAATTGAACATATAGGCTTGAATCATACTTCACATACACTAGGAGTCACATTTTAACGTAACTCTGACACTGCCTCTTCAGAAACCAATGTTTGATAACATAAATACAAATTAAATGTACTCACCTTTGCCTCACCACCGAACTTTCTCTACAATATTCTTCTCAATCCCATACTTTTTCTTCCCTTTCAAACTACTTGGATCACTAGATTTACGGCGACATTATATAATAATATAAATTATTCAAAATATATGTTAGTATCAAACTAACATATTCTAAACGAAATTATAAAATTCAATAGAAATAAAATCAATGCTTGAATCGATATAAAACAAAATCATGCTTCCTTCATAATTTCAAACTTCTCAAAATGCTTATTCAATCCCATGAATAACTATTTCCACTATCAACCCTTCAATTTTTGCCAATTACACCATCAAGCCATAAATTATGAATTCTTTTTAGAATTCATATTAACTTTCTCATTTAATTCATAATGACCCTTCACCATTATGATCATTTTAAATTAATCGCATAAAATTTTCAGCACTTTACTAAAATATTCAAATCAATACTTAAACATTCAGAAGCTTACAATTTCATCCTAAACTTTCTTTGACTTTTCAATTTCAACCATACAACTTGATAAACTTGCAATTAAATCTCAACTTAATAATTAAACCCAAAAATCAGCATACTAGATATAATTTACAGCATTGCAATAATTACCCAAATGATATTTCCACATTTAATAACTTGAAATCAAGTCCCTATAATATTGAGACTTTTCGAATTCCACCCTCAAGCTTTACCAAACTTGAAATTTAATTCCAATCAACTTTCTAACTTAAAATTCCATCATTTCTAATATTAAAATTCAGCATTAACACTCCATCTATCACATTTATGCAATAATGTCCCACAATTCTCAAAACTTGTATATTAGCCCTTTTACTAACTCAAGCTTCTAAATGGATCCAAATTGATTTCCAAAATACATAGAACACTTCTAATATCTTTTCTAGACCATAGGAAATTTTTCAATATTTTTTCCCTTATGGACGAATATAACAAGTCTTTTAGGACTTGATTTTCATTTCATTTCAATCATGGATTCAACTTCTTTAGATTAAATTCATGTTATTCTAACCATAACAACATCAAATTACATCAAAATTCCAATATTTCCAAAAACTCTAATTAGGCCAAATAGTATACAAACATGTACACATCAAATTAATCATCATACATGTCTTAAAATTAATCTCCAACCTTAAAAACATAAAAATTCTTCTTCAATTATTCAAACTCCAAAAATCCTACATAACCCTAATCTCAATCTCAAAACACAAGCATCTTCACCATGAAATATTGGTACCAAATGATAGAGAATTTCATGTAGATTAATTCTATATCTAATATCTTAATAAAAAAAAAGTCAATTGTATAACTTCAAAAATAAAAATAAAAAAATTTCTTACCTTGAGCAAGGTGGTTCAGCCAAGAGAAGAACAACAAGCTGAAAATGGCTAATTTATTGATTATTCTAACATTAAATTAGCCTTTACACTTGTATTTAAATTATTATAATTGAATTTTTTATTCAATTATTAGAAATTCTAAAAATACCATTAATGAATCTTAAAAATTACCAATTGTCATTTTCGTTTCCTCCATTAAAATATTCTTTGGTCAAAGAAGAATCAATTTGGCTTTGCCTTTCTATTTTGACCATGCAATTTTCAAAAACTGCATTTTAATAACTAAAATTCCATTGTTCAGTCAAATCTGAAAATTTATACTGTTCCCAAATTTCTTTGATCTAAAATATGGATATAATATTTCCAATCATTTTCTAACATCCTGCAATTTTTTATAAAATTTCGGTTCGATCTAATTATCCGATTTCAATACCGAACTTTATCGCTTTATAGCTTTTAACACAAATCTCGTACCGAAAATATGATTCCCACGAAAATCCTTGTTTTAGGCCAAACTATTCGTTTACAGGCTAAATATATAATTTTTCAAGATTACATTTTTGTTCTCTAAACTTTTCAAAGTTTACACTTTAGTCTTATTGATGAACGTGTTATTGATGATGTAGATTACAGTGTTTCAAGTGATGCTGATGAGAATGAGTCAGAAAAGTTATCTCTTCTCCGATCCTCTCTTCCTTGATTAATTAGGGGTTGATGGTACTATGTCTATTGATGTTTTCCCTTGGTTGGTGAATTGATCGTCCTTAATGTGTCGGACAATAGATAGCCTTTATCATAACCCATAAATCATGACATATTTTTTCCAAATATGATCATATCACGTCTCAAAATAAGTTATCGATATAAATTTCTCGTAAGTCCCACACTGCTAACAAATTTGTGTGCTGCTGCACATAATCGAAGTTTGACTTTCTCCGTATTTTGTCAAGGTCCATAGTTAATACATGAAATACTACACAAACCTAAATTATCTCATCAAACGATCAATTGAATGTCACTAAACAATCACGTAAAATATAAGAAACGCGATCACATACCATAACTACAATATGAAATTCACTCAAACCACACACAAAAAATTACTATTCACAAACTAATAAATGAATTCGTAATTATTATTATATTAATATGAAATTTGTAAAACATGAACCTCTACTCTTGATCTTTACCCGCTTATTAATAAGATATCTTCAAGCTCATTTAAATAGCATTCAAGTCGATGAATCATTTGTTGATTGGAAAAAAGGTTACGTCAACACTAGAAAAAAAAATATAATTTAAATAATGACTTGTTTATATGTAAAAAAAATAAATTACTCACTGATAAGAGGGAATGAGATTGAGACTTGAATAAGTGAATGAAGAAAAGGATATAGATGGTCAAAATACCCAAATATGATGGGTTTCAATTTGATCCGAACAGTCTCAACATAAATTATTAATTTATCCTTTTATATATAATATATATTTAAAATTTTAGTTATTTTATAGAATTAAAATATATTTTTTTAATTATTAAAATATAAAAATTATAATAAAATATATTATTTTAATCATTTAAAATATAATAAATATATTATTTTATTTTAAAAAAATATTAATATATTTAAATAAAGTTGGGTCGTGGTTAGAGTTTTAATCTAAAAATCAGAGTAAATCAGGGTGATAGAAAAGCTAAAATTCTCCTTGACGAGACAGGATCCAATATAAACAATATATTTTTAGATAGAGGTCGAGTCAGCCAAAAAAATCAACCCACCCCACCTATGCCCATCCCTGAAAACAATATCATGCCAAGACTATCGATCTAAACTATATGTGTGTGACATGGTGCGAGATTCATCGGACATTAGAACCTTTCGGATGATATCCAAACTCTGTGCACGAATGAATACCTTTGTCTTTTTTTTTTTTTTTTTTTGAGTGATCATCCTCTAGAATATATAAACTGTTATCTAACCAGCTGAAATATACTCAACCACAATTATTCTATTAAGAGACTTTCCCAAATATGTTTTAACATACATCATATCATTTATCGTCTCCTATCAATGAGCCAATTTTTAAAATTTTATCATATGATGTTAAACTATTTACTAGAAGCCGATATAGCATTATTTTATGAAAATGTTATTTTTTTAATTAAATATGAAGATATTATATTTTTAAGGTAAATGTTAGGACTTAAATTCACATAAACTAAAATAATATGAACATATCTTTTTATTGAAGAATTAATGTAGGCCTCGGCCTTGGCCTTTCCCTTTGAACAAAAAAAACCCAATCCAATGTTCTTCTCATTTATTTTTGATTTTTTTATCATAAATCTTGGCTAATTAATGGAAAACTATAAATTGGTAAAATAAATGAATGAACATAAACTGAGTCCGCCCCTACCGACCCAACTCAACTCGGCGCTGTCTCCTGCAGTCAGACACCCCCTCGTTACCTTCCACGTGGGTAACTCTGCCTCTCCCTGCAAAAAGCCCAATAAGAATACGACAAGTAATCCTTACTACAATACTCCAGCCTTATAATAATCATCACCCACATGTTATTTGTTTTTAAATATCAAAAGCAGGCGCGGCTGAGCAGCGCCGTACAGAATCAGTAGGGCATACGTAAGCATCGCCCAGGAGTGTAGTCACATGACAGCGCACTCTACTCTCATGTCTAATCAGGCGGCGGCTCTCATTTTTTGCTCTGTGTCGCAAGTGTAAGATAACTAGTGGAATGAACGCCGTTGGATCAACTTAGGAAACAATCAGACGGTACAGAAAAGCTTGTCAACTTCTTTAAATATCCCAAGCTTCTTCTTTCAAACGCCGACGATTACGGGAGACTATCTTTTGTGGGGTCACTTCATTGAAAGCTTCTGTTTTTTTTTTCTCTGATGGCGTCGTCAAGAGAAGTACACTACAGGGGCGTTCGGAAGCGTCCATGGGGGAGATACGCGGCGGAGATACGTGATCCGTGGAAGAAGACGAGGGTTTGGCTGGGTACATTCGACACACCGGAGGAAGCCGCCGTTGCTTACGACAAAGCGGCTAGGTCTCTCCGTGGTTCCAAAGCTAAAACTAACTTTCCCTCGCCGCCGTCCTCCGCCGATCTTTCTCTCGATCTCAATCTTCCGACCAATCTCCATCGGCGTTGGGCTTCATCTTCGGCACACCACCATCACCGTTTATTTCTACAGTCTGGGGTTCATAGGGAAACAAACTTCCACGCTGACTCTTTATCATCGTCATCGGTTAATCCCAATGTCGTCTCCGTATCAACCGGTCCACCGGTGCCGGTAAATGTCTCCACGGCGTCGTTTCTAGGGATTTATCGACGTGGATTACCTATAGATTTGAATGAACCTCCTCCCTTGTGGCTTTGAAAAAAAACCTGGAAGACAGAACAAAGCCACAAGTTTCTTTTTCCATTTTGAATAGGTTTTTTTTAGGATTTAACTTTACGTATCTTTGCTAATGTTTTTCCGTTCATTTTCAGAGATTTTCTCATTAGAACATTTGTGTATATATGTGTTTTTAGTTCTGTATGAAACGCCCTTAATTCTCAGCTGTTTCTCTTTTTTCAGTTTTCATGCAATAAAGTTCAACGACAATGGATAAAATATACGTCGCCGATTTACTTACAGGGAACTTGATCGGACGGTGAAAAATTATTTCTAAACTGTTGCCTCCCCAGAACTATACAGATAAACATATCGACTGTTCTTGGAAATATTTTATAGGAAAGGAAAAAGAAATTCGGAATGTTGAGCACGCGCGGGTTGAGAGTGCGGGATAAGTCGTTAGAGGGAGATGAGTTTTTGTAAAAGAAAACAAAATTTACTCTTTTTTTAGTATTTTCTTATCATTTAATCTTTTAAATTTATATTTTAGTTAATCATCTTATCCATTTTATCTAATAATGATTTATATGGTCTTTCAAATATTACTTATTGACATTAAAAAATTGTAGTTCTTGTTAGTCATTTTATAGAAGAATTCAATTTTTTAACTGATTTTTAAGTTTTAGTTAGAATATAAACTTAATATTTTATTCTTAAAAATTATATTATAATATTTATTTGGTAAATTTTTAAATAATGTAGAAGGAAAAAAGGATATGCTCATATAAGGAGTCAAAAATTATTTTTTAATTACAGTGTTTGTTATAATAGTTATTGAAAAACGTCTAGACCACATGATAATCTCTAAAAATGACTGAACTATTCTAAAGAAGACGTCGTATATTTTAAACTTCTTTGTAAAAGATGTCAACTACATCTTTTATGTGTCTTTTCATATACACCAAATAATCCTAACAAATTTCTACCAACCTTGTAGCATTTACACTATTTTAACAAATACTTTTCCTATCATTAGTTATGAACCATTTTTCACAAACTATTATATCAACATATTTACTTTATTTTTTTTTTGTAAAAAAATAAAAGTAGATTAAAAAAATGTATTCTTCTACGGATATAAATTTCTCTAAAAGTGTTTCAAATCTTAGAAAATTAAAATCAATTTTCAAAACAAAAATCATAAAAATTGTGTATCATCCATCATATCAAGCTATCATTAAAAGAAATTTTATGCGACGAGCTTCTTTCTCATCGTTCAAATTAATAAATTTATGAATTGAAAAAAAAATATTAAAGAAGATTCTTTTTATAGTCAACAAAAGTAGAACGGCGATAATAATGATATAAAGGGAGTGACGATTATGATTATTAATAGGAAAAAAATTAATTATTTTATGATATATCGTATCATCAATTTAATGATAATTAATGTTTAAATGATTATTTTATAATAAATAAGTAATATAAATGATTAAGATATACTTCTTTTAAAAGAAATGGTACTTTGAAAATGACAAGTGTAATTTCTTGCATGAAAAAAAAAGCGAAAATCCATTTCTTAAGTAATGGTAGTTCAGAGATCTGTTTCAGGAAAAAGTAACAGTCTATTGCGTAGACCAACACGCCTATTCAACGCGTGTGCCTCTGTTTTTGTTTTTTTAACCCTCTCCTATGTCGGAAGATAAATAAAAGAATTTGTCACCGAATAATTATATGTATTAAAAATTATATAATAATATTTTATAAATTTTAAATAAAATAATTAACAACTATTGATTTAATAGATCAAAATAATGTCTGATTAAATTCTTTGTTTTTGGGGATTTAGATTATAAAGTTGTGGTATATTATTATTATTTTCATATTTTTTTACAATTTTATACTTATTTTATTTCTCGCTAGAAGTGATTTTAATTTTTATTTGAAAACACATTTTTATTGTTAAAAATATATATGATGTATGAAATGTTAAATAATATCAATTCAATGCTTTCGATGAATGGGAAGACACCCATATTATAGTATCGCAGGGGATACATTTTAATGTACTATGCTCTCTCTCATCTGGAAGGATAGGATAGAATTAAAGGTTAAATGTGATTGAGATAGTTTCTAAACTTATTTCTCGGTCTCGATCAAGAAATTTTGTAGTGACATTTAGTATTGATGTCAAATATAAGATAATTATAACTTGACAGACTCAATATATATGGTGCGTTTGATAAAAAAAAGTAAATTTTCAAATATCACATAGATCTATTAGATGTCATACCTATAGGTCATAATTTCTCGATTGTGCACAACTCTTTGATCCTTATATATAGGGATACGAGTCTTTATCCCCGAAAGAGTAATTTTTCAACAAGGTATGATACACAAATAGAAAGGGGTTTAGAAAAGATATAACAAAAAGATGGAGGACGAAAAATGTAGTAATATAATGGTTAAGATTTGAAGTAATAAAATAATTATGAATACTAATATATCATATGATTAACAAATTTTATATATTCGTGTTTTTTATCCTTCGTACTAAAAATAGTCTAAACCACAATTATTTCGTTTGATAATAAAATCCCCAACAATGCTTGGAGTTTCACTTTGACCATTGTTTTCCATCATTAGCAATTCGTTGTATCTACTAAGGTTCACTGCATACAAGTAAGACATCATTTTGTATTCAATGCCAATTTTCAATTTTACACTTCCTTTTTACAACTTACCTCTCCTACACTGCCAAAATAGAATTTAAACAATCATTTTACTCGTGCACGTCTATTGAATCAGACCCCACATTTTTCCTTCACTGTATAATTTCCATATTCAACTTTACTTTTTTCTATAAATTTAGAATATTATACATAGAGGTTCATGTACTTATGGTAATGGGGTTTTTATTGTTCTCCTCTTGTTGCTTCTGGTACTCTTAAAGATGTACTGGAAACATTTTTTTATATATAATATTTCTGTACACTCTTTTCCCTCTTTCGTTTGCTTATTTCTAAGTCTTTGCTTAGATATAAGTTACAGGGGAATTTCTAATTAGATCTTTAATTCTTATAAAAAATAATAAGTGAATGAATAAATAAAATAAAATAAAAACGATATGATTATTGTGTCATGTAATCATTGTATTACAAATAATTACATCAAAATTGATGTAACTTTGAAAGTAAACGTTGTCTCTCAAGATTAAATACAGTTTTTTCAAATACCTTACATCCGAAATAAAAAATAAATAAACTCGTTTGATATTGTTCTTTTCAAAAGATAAATTAAAATAAAAATTATGGATAATATTTTTTTAATTATTTGTATTATCCAAAAAGTTTTTGTAACGATTTCGTGATAGTTGTCTAAACTTGAAGATGGTCTATCGGAGGGTAGCCAAAACAATTTGATTCAGGCATCGACAGGACAAAAGCAAAGTACTTGAAGATTGCCCATAATGTAAGATCAGCCTTTCTTTTGTTTCTTCCCCCCCTTTTTCCCTTCTAAAGGCAGCAATATTAAAGGAAATTTTGGTGTCACCCAATCAAGAATTGGGGACCAAACGCATGTAAGACAACCTACGCCAATGTGTCAAACTCTAACCATTGGAGATAGACATCACTCGGTGGCGCAATTACACGGCCACTTATAGCCCATAGACTTATAATTGTGGGCTATAAAGTGAAAGATAAAAGATCACACCTCTTCAATTTGCTTTACGACATTTTGTGTCGTCCACCATTGAAATGTAAAATAATTGGATGTTGAATTTGATTAGGAGAAATAGGTACAACAATTTTAAACATGCTTCTTAGTTAATGTCCTAAACTAAGCATATTTAAGAAAAAAAATGATATTATTGATTTATTGATTGACTTTTGATATTGTGTAGTGATCAAATTAACTTAGATATATAATTCAAAGTAATAGACCAAGATTCAATTTATAAATCATAAAAAAGTAAACTCCATTAAGATCACTTAATTACTTAACTTCTAAAAGTTATAAAATGATTATCAAATTTTACAAAATGATCACTATTATATTATAATAAATGTAAAAATTTGATAAATTTAATAATCATTTTATAATAATTTGATCAAAGTTAATGATTATTTTGTAATAAATCCAAAGTTTTACTAAGAAATTTTTATCCTACTACCATGTGATTATTCACATCATCTCCAAATTTTAGGTGTGGGTGTAAGTAAATCCATAAGAATTATAGACAGTCCAACACGCAAACTTACTTTTTTTCCCCTTTTCTAATCCAACAAATTTAACCTAATTCCCAACCTCTGCAGTCCGTCTTTTCATAACTGATCCCCTACTCTAACAACATTCAGAGCCCCTGACCCATGTCTATAGCCACGCGTCGATCTCACGACGTTTACGCGTCTTGGCCCACTCCATTTCGAATCTGTCGGCAGCCACTCACGGCTTTCGTAAACGTCACCGCCCATAGTAAATTTTACTTTGGGTTTTGTACCGAGAGAATACCGTGATGCTGTCGACGACGACAGCAACGGCGGTTGCACCACACATCCGATTTTTTTTTATTTCATATCTCTTGTTTCGCATTGATTGTAAAACGGTAGAATATGCATGGTGTGTGAGATTTGATGTTCCATCATCCTTTATTATTTTCAATTTAGGTTAAAAGGATCTAAAATTATTTGGGACATCTATAATAACAAAAGAGTAAACTACACCAAATACCATTGAACTTTAGATTTATATTGTTTATACCACTAAACTTTTAATTTTATCAATTACAATATTAAAATTTGACTTCTGTTTCAATTATATCGCTAAGACTTAACAATGGGATTAAAATGACGTGGTATTGGTGAGGTGTTAACATCAACAGTTATCAGCCACATCATCATGTCATTAACGATTTAATAGTTCAATGATATAATTGACAAAAGTAAAAGTTTATTGATATAAATAATACAACATCTAAAGTTCGGTGGTATTTGATGTAGTTTGCCATTAAAAAAAAGTTATAATGATTTTTGAGACCTTCGGCCTTCGTCTTACGACGATGATAGTTTATGATCGTGGGGGGATTGATTAATTGAGACTTACATGATTTGTTTATAACAAATTTTAAATATATTATTCATTCTATTTAGAGGAAGAAAATAAAAAAATTCTAA